ATCGGCTGGAAAGCGTGGGATACCCCCAGGTCACACTCGGGGGGTAACCCTGATGTTCCCCCCAACTTTCCCGCAGGTACCCCAGAGGGCTGGCGATCGCTGCGAAGTGGTAATTCTCGCGATTGGGATTTCGGGTGATGAAAGCGGACCAATCAGGGGAGAGCTCCAGTTCGTTGTAACCCAGGAGATACCCCAACAGCTTCGGATCGACCCTGCTCACCTGGTTAGTGCACACTGTTTCGGCAACCACAGCTCAACCCAGGCACTGTACACGTTGAAGATCATGATAACATCAGCTATGTTAAACAATGATCTCTAAATATCGAGATTCTCTTTATTGAGGATCTACTGATGTGTTTCGCTAGGTGGCAGCAAGGATTTCGTGCACCAATCACATTTGTCCTAGTCACTTCAGCAAAAGAGTCCCTCCTAGATGTATTTCACAATCCCATCTCGACCACTTCCCTCATTGGGGCTGTTCGCCAGCACCATTATAGCAAAAAACGACGGGATAACGACGGGATCAGGAAGGTGGGTCTCGCCTTCCTGATCCCGTCAGTTAGAGTTCGTTAACCTCCGTCAGCCTGGTCAGCCCGTGAAAAAAGTGCCGAGCCTCACCTACCGTCCAAACCAACAAACAAAGTGGGCGTCTGGCGAACGCCCACTTTTGTCCACCAAATCTAACGCTTCGACGGCATATGGAAGCGGGGACGAAACTTCGTCCCCAGGCAAAACACCATCCCCTAGCCATGCCATCGCCATGCTGCGTTTTTCAAAGCACAGCGATGGCACAGCCGTCGCATTGCCGTTCAAAAGGGATCGAAGGGAAGGTGGGGATAAAGGTTCCCGATGCGGTTGAGAAATTTCTCAACCGCAGGCGCAGAAGTTTCCTGAACGGCATTACGGCCAAACCTCGGAGGTGGGTTCCACCTCCGTTTCCATATGCGGTCGCGATGCCGATGCCATCATTTTCGTTTCAAAATACGATTTGCAGGCGAACGGCACCATTATTTCTCGCTGCCAAGCTGTTTGAGTTCTAGGATTTCTCTTAACTCGCCGCCATGTCCGCATTTTACGCTGCCTAGATTTCCTAGACCTTTCTGGAGATTATACTTGAACGATAAGTAGCTTAGCTTCGGGTTTACACTTTCCGTTGTTAAGCAACGTCAATACCCTGGCGATTTTTGGCGTGCATGTTAATGTGCTTTTTTATCGTCAGTTGCTTAATTTTTTCCTCGCGCCATGTGTGTTTCTTTGCAGGCGCCGTCAACCGTCGTGACAGGCGCTCATGTGTGGAGGTCTAGAATGTGTCTTCGTCGGCCGCGATGTCGTGAGAACGCTTCCTGTGTTCCATCTTCCGTGCGGTCATCGAATTTCGTTGCCTTCGTATCTGGTCAGATTTCTCTACTGGTGAGCATGCGGTGCATAATAGACACCTATGGCGTGACAATAATGTTTCCTTGTGTACCGATGTTTTTCCCCTTTGTTCTCACTACTCTCACTCTTACCACCCTTCCCCTGTCTGAATGTCGCCACTTGGTGCAGAATACGGAAAGCGGTCCTGTCACGTATTCGTATGGTAAGAATCCTGCAATATCGTGTGTTCCTGTTCTCTTTGTGTCATGTGTTGCAGGAGCAAACTATCGTCTACATAGGGTAGTGAGGTTGTGCTGGAGCTCTCCTGAGTGATTAACACAGTTTTTATAACGTGCTGTGTCTGCAGAGTAGTGCACGTTGTCTGCATGTCAGAAAGTGTGTCTGTAATGTTTTATTTAAAATGTGCAGATTGATTAATGGAATCGACCAGCTTCTGTATACATATTATACTGGCACTAAGCCGTCTGTCTGTGACAAAAATTACTGTAAATGATTGATATCAATACTAATTGTGGTTATAGCCGAATGAAAATTATAATAGCATGTTTAGCTGACAAAAAAGAATATACAGTATTGTAGATATGTTGTTGTTGTAATTGAGTAAGTTTACAGCGCGGAAGCGGCTCGCGTGAAGCGGGAAGCGGGAACGCACGTGATTGGGCCCAAACTTCGCGGGAGGTAGAGTTGGGGTAACAGGTGGGTCACATCTCGGGGTCACCCCAGTGTGACAACGAACTGAATCCTCGACCGGGGTGACATTAGGGTATCACTGCTGGCGACCTTGGGGTATCACTAATCGGGGTAACACTGTTGTGACCTTGGGGTAGAAATTTGCGGAGGAATTTTTTGGGATGCAGAGTCCTAAGTCAAATCGCCTAGAATTGATCGTGCGCCGCGACCTTCGGTGTACTGACGACGAAGAGTCCCTGCCCCGCGCCATCGTTTATCGCAACCAGGGCTGTCGCATGGTCTGGGGCCAAACCTTACGAGGCTGAGCTGGCCTCTACAAACCTCTCCGACGAATCGTCCACACCCTACAAACTGTGTTAATTATGAAGTTTTACCACTCCCAGGGATTTTCCCACCCCTTAGAAACGTATTTTTGGTGAAGCACTTTACCAACGAATTTCGCAGGTTCGTGGTTCAGACACGGTGGTGCTTGCAACGGGAATCATAGCCAGGGCCGATAATTACGGTGGGCTATGCTTTAAAAGGAGGTGTAATTTAAAGGGTACAATTACGTCACGGGTAATCCTATAAACGACTCTATTATACAAAGGTTCTAATATCCAAAACTAAACTATAACGAGGTATTTTAATGACGGTGCTCGTGAACATCCGAAGATTCCTCCACACCCTTTAAAATATCTCTATTTCAATGTTTTACCTCGTCCAGGTATGGAAGGCACGGCGGAACTTGCAGCGGAGTCATAACCAAGAATAACGTAAGGACGTGGTGCGGAACGGGTCCGGACCCGGTGCATCGAGGCGTCCCGGGGCGTGCCGGGGCGCCCCAGCTCGCCCCGTGGAACGCATCTCAGTTTCGATTATCCTTCCAAGAGCTGAGATCGAACCTTCAACCAGCAATGGGCGAAAGCGAAAGTATCAGATGCATATTTCGACCGAAAATATTAACATGGTAAAAATTCGCCAACGTTCTCGTCAAACAGATCTCGCAATTGATCCCTCCCCAAATAGTCGTCGCCATCATCAAACGATTTCATCGAGATCCTGGCACGACAATTGAGCTAGTAACCGAAATTTCGATAGTTCGTAAGCCTTTCGAGCATGCTGGGGCGCCCCACAGCACGGCCCAGGGCGTGCTGGCACGCGTCGATGCATCGCCTCGTCCCGGCACGCCCCGGGACGAGGCGATGCACCGGGTTCCCGTGTGCACGGAAGCTTCGAAACCCGGTGCACCGCGGTGCATCGGGGCGTGCCAAGGCGTTCTGCACCACGTCCTAAGACGGTGAGCTATTCTTTAGAAGATGATGTATTTTAAAGGGTTCAACTTGTCAGAGGTCCACTGGAGATCCCCGATTGATCCTAGGGAAGGGTTACAGGCACGTTGGCTTGGGGGGTTATGGGCGCACTCACCCGCTACATAAACAAGCCCTTTTATCCCAGTGGTTAGTGGCTGGGATTCTGACATGGTATCAGAGCGAAGGTCTCGGGTTCGATTCCCGGTGTGTGCACTTCGGGCATCCCAGTGCGGGGGGGTGTCAGAGGTCCACTGGAGATCCCCGATTGATCCTAGAGAAGGGTTACAGGCACGTTGGCCTGGGGGGTTATGGGCGCACTCACCCGCTACATAAACAAGCCCTTTTATCCCAGTGGTTAGTGGCTGGGATTCTGACACAACTACGTGATGGGTATTCTTCTAAACGACTCCGTTATACGAAGGTTCTACTATCCAAAACTAAGCTATAACGAGGTATTTTGATGACGGTGCTTGTCGAACACCGATTATCCTTCCACACCCTTTAAATTGTCTCTAATACAATGTTTAACCTCTCACAGGGATTTCCCACCCTTCAGTGACGTATTTGTGGAGGGGCACTTTACAAGCAAATTTCAAGATCAGGCGCGGTGGTGCTTGCAGCGGAATCACAGCCAAGAATCTCGTAATGACAGTGGGCTATTCTTTATAAGAAGGTGTATTTTAGAGTGTGCAAGTACGTGACGGGTAATCTTTTAAACGGCTCCGTTATACGAAGGCACTACTGTCTAAAACAACGCAAATCAAACCCCATTCATTTGCGATTTTTTAAACCTTCGTCAGCGAACCAAGTGTTTAAATAGCGAGTCCGTATTGGTTCGCCCTCACAGCACAGTCGGTTTCGCCATTATCTTTGCTGATTCTCGCAAATACTCGCGGAAACCTTTATCTCAAACGCACCTCGAGAATGTCGAAACCCCCATCACCACCATTGCGGAGCTGGCATTCCAACGGCTACGTTTTCTCACAGGCTTTAATCACAGCCGTCCCGCAGAGTCTGCATCGCGATATAGTCACTCACATAGTATTGAGCGCTCCAGCACTCATTTCACGATGGAGATTGCGGCGTTCGCGCTCAATAGCTCTGCTGACTTAGATCCTTCACCGCGTGACGAGTCCGTCAATATGTCTCGCCTGCCTATGACTTGCCTGTCGCGCCGGTTTTCACGGTCGTCGGCCTCTCGAAGCCTCGTGCCAAGCTGGAAGCCGAGGTGGATAACTCAAACTCGCCGGGCAGTCGGTAAAGGAAGATGACATGGAAATTAACGACGTTCTTGCGACTTTACCGCACACGTGGCGTCAGTTTATTAGTCCAAACGGCCAAGGTATCAGCTATTACAGTGGCTACTACCTCGCACAGCAATCCAGTCAAATCAGGGGTTTCGCTGACCACTCGCTGCGGTGTCTGAGAATTCAGGCCATTCTGGTTCCGTGTCAGTGACTTATTCCATTCTGGGAATTTTCCTCCATTCGCGGCACTGGGGGGTTTTCTTCAAGCTCATTTTGACACATGGCTGCTTGTCTCTCCACGAGTCCCGCTTTTCTCCACCTCAAGTCGACCGTTAAGTGTACCTCCCACGCGTTTACTCGCAAGAGCTTTGCCGTCCCGCAGTCAAATCGAACCATGGTGCGGTCCAGCGCCGACCAAACTGACGTCAAGCGGCAGCCGGCGGCCGTCAAGAGCGAGCGGCAGCTGACGGCGGAGGAGCACTGGGAGTGGCACGCGCCGCACATCCGCAACTGGCGCGGCGAGTGGAAGATCTGGAAGCCCGTAGACAGCGACGCGTTGCAGAAATCGTTCAAATCTGTCCGTTCGTTCCAATTCAAGGATGAGGAGAAGACAGCTTTTGACCACGTGGTGAGTTGGTAGTGAGTCAGCATCAGTGAGGCTTGCTGTTGAGTCGTTTGCATGAGTCTAATATGATGGATCAATAATATTATGGAACCCCCTGCTTCATGTATCAAAAATTACCTATGGCGGGGCTAGCATGGTAGGTTCTTCTCTTTCATCTCCATCCAATTTCCATCGTGGCAGAATGCCTGGGAGGAGAAGGGGGATTGTCACACACCATGATTCCCCGTTCAGGAGTAGTTTGGGAAACTACCCGCAATGACCACAGACTCGCTCATGACAGCATGTTCTCTCTGTTATTTCCTCACCGTTTTGTGTCAGAATGACTGGTACGAGGAGAAGGGGGATTTGACCATGACTCCCCTATCAGGGGTAACTTGGGAAATCACCCGCAAGGAACACAGCCTGCCCGACGGCATCATGCACCCTGCCCGCCCGTCTCACCGCGTGCTGTGCGTCAATCCCAAGGGCGAGGGCGCATGGGTGCAGCAGCAGTTCAGAGGGCCACAGGAGGGGCTTTACCTTGAAGCCTTCTTTAGCAAGGGTATGGTATAGCATGTGGGTACGGTATGGCATTTGGTATTGTCCTGTGTGGCATGGTATGGCATGCTGCATGGTATCGTATGGTGACTATGGATGTCCACCGCCCCACTCTCTCTTACACCCCTTTGCAGTATTGACCATGCACTTCCTTCACTTTCAGTTTCAATGCTCCCCACACTCCATACTCCGAGGCACAACTGAGCGTCCTGTCTGCACTTTCTCACAGATTTTACCACTCTGCATCATGCTTGCATTTTCTCTCCAACATCACAAACCACCACCATTACACCCTTCGGTACCTCTTACCGTTGATTTCCCACCCTCCGGAAAATTGAGTATTATATAGCACCAAAAACTCCTCACACTCTCACCTGTGTCGCTCCCCACACACACACTCCAGGCCCAGAGGCTCAACTGAGTGTCCCATTTGGCTTTGATTCCAAGGGAACTTTCCTGGCGTCTATGATCGTTGAAGACCTTGCAGACTACAAGGAGCGGCCCGAACCAACCTGGAAGAGCAAGGCCTGGCCCTCGCCTGTCCCTGACGTCCTCCCTAAAGAGTTCCCCGCTTTCATCTCCACAGATCAAATCGCAGGAATTGAACAGAAGATAACTCCCAGCCTGATAGCCTCCGAATCAATTTCTTTATGGAATGGTTACTGTGGGAAAATCGCAGATGATGATTCTGTGGAGTATATGCTCGTGGCGATTCCCCTGGGTGTGGTTCTGTGTGTTCCAAAGAGTCTTGATCTCGTGGTGGGAAAGCCTTTCAGCATGTCGGCCACGTGGCATGTGAGCAGGCATGAGGTGAAGCGAGTGTTTGCTTCTTATGATGAAGGTGGGAGGCTCTTGTGCCTGTCTGGGGGTGATTACACCCACTGAAGAAGGATGTGAATATGGTTGGCTAAGAAGGCTGTCTGGTAGTGATTGCATCTAGTGGCAGTGTCTTGTTTCTGATGCAATTCGCAATTGTTTCCTTATAATTAAGCTTACACTGTTAAGGCGTGGTATTCTGCACAGCAGTAAAGCGTTCGTGCTTGGTGATTTTTTTTTCCTCAAGAATAATCATGCGTGAGGTTCTTTGAACCAGCTGTAACACTGGTCTGCTTTTACCTGTATACTTCAACAGAAATCGTCGTTTAAGTGGCCTTCATTCTGTCTCAAGGCCAGGTTTGAGGATGCGTTGCCGAGCCAGAGAGAAGCACCCATGCATGAATGTTGGGGACTTGGTGGTTTGGTGGAATTGATGGATGGCCACCAGTGCACTTCAGTCTGTCTTGGTGTAAGGTACCAGATCCAGTGTCGCATTGCCGGGGCGAGAGAACACCACCTGAACTCGGAAAGATAAGGAGACACAGGTTCGAATGAGAGGGTTGAAAAAGTTGATGGAGACGCAGGTTTGGAAGGATTGGAGATGGTGAAATGAGAATATGGAGAGAAAGAGAGTGAGAGAAGATAAGAACCGTGCATAAGATGTCCTTGGAAACACGCTGACACCTCCTGGCCTTGAGTATGCCTTGAAGTTCTTTGACCTTCCTGAATTTGTTGAACCCCTTCGAGATCTACATGAATCTGGAAACCACGTGAACCTTTCTAAAGATCACCTGAATCTCTCTGGGAATCACCTGAACGTATCTAACAATCACCTGAACCTCCTTGGATTCACCTGAATATCCCCGAGTGTGCGAGTTTGGAAGCCCACAGCACAGTAGACGAAGTAGTACTGCCACGTGCGGATGAACTTGGGACCAAATCCCATCTCCATAATCTCACTGGGAGGAGGAGAGGGAGAACAGCAGCAGGTGGAGGAATGTTTGACAGAGACACGTGGGATGAGTGAGAGTGGTTCATAAAGGCTCAGCACAGTTGGCGAAGTAGTACCTTCTCAGTCAGTGCCATCTCAATGCCGTCCGATGCCATGCCTAGATTACGCTACAGCCATCCCAATGTTGGACCCTAGATTATGGCACTGCCTGTGCGCCATGAAGTTATCGTGCCATCTCACTGACATGCCAAAACATACTAGTACCATCCAATGCCATCCAACATCCAATAGTCAACTCACTGCCTGTGAGCCATGAAGTTATCGTGCCATCTCATGAGCGTTGTGGCATAGTGCGGGCCGATGTTCTCCAGCTCCTCCACACTGTTGTTGGCACACGGGGATATGACAAATTGGGAGGTTGGGAAGGCGGGTCACAGGGGTGATGAAGGGCAAGGGTGGCGTAGCCATGTAGTGCGTCCTGGGCATGGGTATGGGCCTGGCCGTGTCGTTTTCACCCAAGAGCAGCGTTTTTGGCCCCGTTGTTTTTGCCTGATGGCCAAGTTCTTGGCTCTGTTATTTTCACCTCAAGACAGAATTCTTGGTTCTGTTGTTTACAACTGAAAGTGGAGTTCTTGGCTCTGCTGTTTTCACCTAAAGGAGGAGTTCTTGGCCATGTTGTTTTCACCTGGAAACGGAGTTATTGGCTCTGTTGTTCTCACCTGACGCAGAGTTTTTGGCTATGTTGTTTTCACCTGAAGGCAGAGTTCTTGGCCATAGCGTCGGTGAGCGCAGAGAGGGAGGGCACGCAGCAGCCGGGGAAGATGTACTCCTTGATGAAATCAGATGAGAGGCGATACTCCTCGTAGCGACTCTCTGGTGTCGTGATCACCTGATGGCGCATGGGATGACGGAAGGAATGGTTCATTTGGATGGGTGCCGAACGGCGGAGCGAGAAAGAAGAAGAAGCAAAGGAACGGCAAGCCAAATCCAACACTATGAAATGGATGTACCTAAACAGTCAGGTGAGCTGAGAAGGCACCTGAACAACCACCTGAGGCAGAAATCCACCTGAACAACCAGCAGCCCATCCATTGCTAGCAGCCGGTCGCAGTGATGGAAGAAATCGCCCAGGTACTCGTGACCCACCGCCTCCAACATCTCACTGTCGGCGGAATGGGGATGGAGAGAGAGTGGTTCGGACGGGAGAGTAGTTTGGAAAAGGGAAGGCTTTCTTGTTACATACTGCTCAAGTCAGGGTAATTTTTGAGGAAAAAACAAAATCAAAGCAACCTCCGGAAAAGGATGGGAAGGTTATTAGATTTCAGTGACACTGACCATGAGAGGATGCGGTCGAACTTGCCCGTCCCCGGCAGATTGCGGTAGTCACAGAGCATGAAGTTGATTCGGTCCTGGTGGTGGGTGGGGGTGGGCGACGTGGAGAAGAGGGGAGTGTGGCAAAACATAAAGACGGCTTAAGACTTCAATTGGCAGGTTGCGGTAGTCACAGAGCATGAAGTTGATTCGGTCCTGGTGGTGGGGGGGATGGGAATGGGTGGGCGATGTGGAGAGGAGGGTTGGGGTGGGCCGGGGTGACGTTGAGAGGAGGGGAGTGTAGGTGCAAGCTTAGAGACGTCATAAACTGGAAAGTTGTGGTAGTTACAGTGCATGAAATTGATTCGGTCCCGATGCCCGTGTAGCGACACCCCGTCCAGACTGAGCAGCCAGGCATACATGCATGCCGCAACAGCACTGCTGAGACCGTACTGAAACACCAGCTTTGCATGGCGTAAGCACGTACCTGCAGGCCGGCCGCCTCAACTCACTCAGTGGTGAGCTGCCCCTGCTGCGAGGAGAGGGTTTGATGCCCCTGTAGCGACACCCTGAGAGTCCACACTAATCGTTTTTCCAGAACACATACCTGCTGCGGCACTGCCTTCTGCCTGCGCTGCGCCCATACCTTTGGTCCTGCCTGAGAGCAATGCAGTGCATACCTGCAGGGCGGCAGCTTTCACTCAGTCTGTTGCAAGCTGCAGCTGCTGCGAGGAGAGTGTGATGCCCGTGTAGCGACACCCCGTCAGGCTGAGACCCACACGCTGAGCCTACACCACAGAACTAGCCGGGGAACACACCTGCAGGCCGGCAGCTTTGACTCTCTCTGTTGCGAGCTGCAGCTGCTGCGATGAGAGGGTGATGCCCGTGTAGCGACATCCCGTCAGGCTGAGAGAGACCCACACACTGAGACAGCCTACAATGACCCATTAGCACACACGCATACCTGCAGGCCTGCAGCCTTGACTCGCTCTGTGGCGAGCTGCAGCTGCTGCGAGGAGAGTGTGATGCCCGTGTAGCGACATCCCGTCAGGCTGAGAGAGACCCACACACTGAGACAGCCTACAATGACCCATTAGCACACGCACATACCTGCAGGCCTGCCGCTTTCACTCGTTCTGTGGCGAGCTGCAGCTGCTGCGAGGAGAGTGTGATGCCCGTGTAGCGACATCCCGTCAGGCTGAGAGAGACCCACACACTGAGACAGCCTACAATGACCCATTAGCACACGCACATACCTGCAGGCCTGCCGCTTTCACTCGTTCTGTGGCGAGCTGAAGTTGCTGCGAGGAGAGCGTGATGCCTGTGTAGCGACACCCCGTCAGGCTGACCGCCTCGAGAGCCAAGCTGCCCCACCCGAAGCCGATCTCCAGCACGTGGTGAGTTGAGTCTATGCGCGCCTGGGGGAGGGGATGGCATGATGCAGGGGGGTAAGGAAGGGTGGGTGGGGTGGTTGTGACCCAAGCTGCCCCACCCGAACCCGATCTCCAACACGTGGTGAGTCGAGTCTATGCGCGCCTGGGGGAGGGGATGGCATGATGCAGGGGGGTAAGGAAGGGTGGGTGGGGTGGTTGTGACCCAAGCTGCCCCACCCGAACCCAATCTCCAACACGTGGTGAGTCGAGTCTATGCGCGCCTGAGAAGGAGGGATTGTCATAATTCCAATGGAGGGGGGGTGAGGAAGGATGGGTGGGTTGGGTTGAGAGCCAAGCTGCCCCACCTGAACCCAATCTCCAGCACGTGGTGGGAGGAGTCTATGCGTGCCTGGAGGGGGGAGAAGGGGAGGGAGGAAGGGAGGGAGGGATGGGGAGGGTATAGGGAAAGGATTGTAAGCAGTGTGATCCAAACTTCCCACCCGAACCCCATCTCTAACACGTGGTGGGTCAAGTCTCTGCGCGCCTGAGGGGTCAGATGGAATACATGGCGCAATCCAAAGGGGGAGGGAAGGGTGGTGAAGCTGGTGGGTAGCCAAGCTGCCCCACCCGAAACCGATCTCCAGCACGTGGTGGGTCGAGTCTCTGTGCGCCTGAGAGAAAACAATGGCTTGATGCAGGGGGGCATGTATGGCGCAATGAAGAGGGTGAGAAGAGGGTGAGAAGAGGGTGAAACTGGTGGGTTGGGTTGTGAGCCAAGCTGCCCCACCTGACCCGAACCCGATTCCCAGTGCGTGGTTCTCAGCATGCGCCACACACTCACCACCACACCACCACCACCACCACCACCACCACCACCACCACCACCACCACCACCACCACCACCACCACCACCACCACCACCACCACCACCACCACCACCACCACCACCACCACCACCACCACCACCACCACCACCACCACCACCACCACCACCACCACCACCACCACCACCACCACCACCACCACCACCACCACCACCACCACCACCACCACCACCACCACCACCACCACCACCACCACCACCACCACCACCACCACCACCACCACCACCACCACCACACCACCACCACCACCACCACCACCACCACCACCACCACCACCACCACCACCACCACCACCACCACCACCACCACCACCACCACCACCACCACCACCACCACACCACCACCACCACCACCACCACCACCACCACCACCACCACCACCACCACCACCACCACCACCACCACCACCACCACCACCACCACCACCACCACCACCACCACCACCACCACCACCACCACCACCACACCATCACACCATGGCAGAATGACATGCTCCCTATGAGCCTCCATCCAGCCCCTCTCACCTTGGCAATGAGGCGCCTCAGCTTGCGCAACTGAGCATCCACTAGAGGCTCCTCTGAGATGGAACACACTCACCATCACACACCGTGGCGGCATGCTACACTCTAGCCTCACGCACCTTCGCAATGAGGCGCCTCAGCTTGCGCAACTGAGCATCCACTAGAGGCTCCTCTGAGATGGATACACCTTGACACCCATATCCATATGTGCAACACACACAGAGAGACACACACAGAGACACACACAAAGACACACACACCATCACACCATGGCACCATGCTACACTGTAACCCCTCCCCACCTTGGCAATGAGACGCCTCAGCTTGCGCAGCTGTGCATCCACTAGAGGCTCCTCTGACGTGTCACACACTCACCATTACACCGATTACCATGGCAGCATGCTACACTCTAGCCCCACCCACCCACCTTGGCAATGAGGCGCCTCAGCTTGCGCAGCTGTGCATCCACTAGAGGCTCCTCTGGTCGCTGAGCCATGCAGAGGGCGGGAGAGGAAAGAGGGCACAGGAGAAAAAAGAGGGTGAAGCAAGGAGTTTCACTCAAAACATGGACAAGGACAAGAACGTGAGCGTAGACGCAGGGAATGTTGTAAAGGCAGGTTTACAAAGTTGAAACAGCAGAGGACACGGCAAACATGCGGGACTAAAGGCCGCGGCAAGGCTGATGCAAACGTGAATATACACGGACGGATCTCTGAAAGTTGTTTTGAACACTCACCTCGAAGATGGCACAGGAGTAGGTCATGGTCTCGTCAAGGAAGGTTTGGAACATGCCGTTGCTCTGGAGGGGGGTGAGGGGGTGTGAGGAGAAGAGGTGGGAAAGTTCAGACGTCGCAAACCTAGTAGGTCATGGTCTTGTCAGGGAAGGTTTGGAACATGCCGTTGCTCTGGAGGGGGTTGAAGGGGGTGAGAGGAGGTGAGGGGGTCGAGTGCATGGATAAGGATGAGGGTGAGGGTGAGGGTGACGAATCAGAGACTAGGAATGACGAGAGTGGTATGGGAGGAAGGAAGGGACGCTGAAAACAGTTAGGATAGGCATCAATGATTACCAGATCAGGGTGGTTACCACCAGGTCACAGTGGTTACCACGTCATGGTAGCGGTTACCAGGACCAGGTATGGTGGTTACCAGGTCGTAATGGTTACCCAGTCACGGCTGTTACCAGGTCGTAATGGTTACCCAGTCACGGCTGTTACCAGGTCGTAATGGTTACCCAGTCACGGCTGTTACCAGGTCGTAGTGGTTGGAGATGTTGCGGCGTGCGTTGGTGAGGTTGTTATGACGAAGCATGTGTCTCGGGTACAGAGTCTGCTCTGGTTACATGGTTACCAGGTGACGCTAGTTACCAGGTCGTAGTGGTTGGAGATGTTGCGGCGTGCGTTGGTGAGGTTGTTAAGACGAAGCATGTGTCTCGGGTACAGAGCTGAGTCTGCTGTACAGAGCTGAGTCTGCTCTGGTTACATGGTTACCAGGAGACGCTACTTACCAGGTCGTAGTGATTGGAGATGTTTCGGCGTGCGTTGGTGAGGTTGTTGAATCGCAGTAGGTGTCTCGCATACAGAGCTGCCGACCCCACCACTGCTGTCAGCAAGGCGGGGCTCCACCACCCCCTGGTGTTTAAGGGAGGAGGAGGAAGAATCGGAGTAGGGTTTGTGAGCTTGGGAATACAAGCAGATTTGCTGACCCCACCACTGCTGGCAGTCAGCAGGGCGGGGCTCCACCACCCCCTGGTGGTTGGTGGGGGAGGAGGAAAGAGCGGAAGTGAGAATAGAATACGGGGAATAAGAGCAGATTGGGCCAAATCTCCTACTCGCTGCTAACAGCTGCTAACAGCACTGCCAGCTGCCAGCAGCTCCGGGTGGTGCTGGAGGGGGAGGAGAGAAAGAAGCTAAATATAACATGTGTGATTTGGTTACAGGTTGCAAGGGAGGCAGGGTGCAGTAGTCGTCCCTCCCTTCTGGAGGTATAACAAGTACCGGCCAGTACTAATACTTTTGGATTGAATCGGTTTGACTCACTTCTTCTTTGCGGGTCGCTGGCCGGGCTGCTTGTTGCGATCCCGATTGGCAATCATGATCTGTGAGTGGATATAAGTGGGGAGGGAAAAGGGAAGATAGTCATTGGATTGGATTGCAGTCCTTCAGTCCGTCAATCAGTCAGTGCAGCCAGCCAGTCGCCGGCCCGGCCAGTCACCTCGAATCAATCCCACTCATCCCTGAGGAGCTTGAAGTGCCCTCTGGAGCCGAAAGAAGAAGATGTTGCGAAAAACGAGACTCAAACGAAGGCTAAACCTTTTTCACAAAAGTGATTGAAAGCTGGAATCATTCACTGAAGTGAACCAGCAAGACTCACCTCAAGAAGCCTGAGAAGAGCCGCTCTAGAGCCATGAGGGGAGAAAGGCGAAGTTGCCATGCGCAAACCAAGGCATTGCTTTTGAGACCTCTCAAAAGTTGATTCAAAGAATGCACTCACTCACTCAGTGAGCCTCTCTGCTCACCTCAACGAGTTTGAGGAGCCCTTTGGAGCCCTGGGGGAAGGAGGTGTCACCGTCCACACACAATGGCATTGAAAGGAAAGCTCACCTCTATGAACTTGATGAGCCGTGAGGGAAGGAAAGACACGTTGCCATCCACAAGCAAGACATTGCTTTTGATACCTCTTCATAGTGAGTAAAAGAGTGCAATCATTTAGTGAGCCTCTCAGCTCACCTCGAGGAACTTGAGGTGCCCTCTGGAGCCCTGAGGGAAGGAGATGTCTCCATCCACAAAGGTGCCGTTTTCGAGAGTTCCATATGTGCGAGAATCATACATTCCAGGCTTTCAGTGGGGCGGGCTCACCTCGAGGAATTTGAGGAGCCCTCCGGAGCCCTGAGGGAAGGAGATGTCTCCGTCCACAAACGCGTCAGCCAATCCCAGGTCAGCACGCGTTGCCACCTGCGGCAGTACAACGGGGCGAGAGAAGGGTGTGCAACGCAGGTAAACAGGCCGTTACGATGAAAGGTAGGAGAAGGCAGGTGCGTGCAAGCAGGGTCACGTGACCGTCCAGCTGATCATTCATAGTGTAGCCGATGTCACTGCATCGAGACTCGCTACAATCACGCACCTTCCAGTAGAAAGCAGGCGAGTGCACGGTCATCTGGCAGTCCAGCTTGGGTCCTTTTCCCCCGAATCGGTACACTGTGCCTCCCCGCTCCAACAACCTGGGGGAGCAGACAGAGAGGGTGAAGAGGGGTGAAGGGGGATGAAGAGGGGTGAAGGGTGGTGAAGGCTGGCGAGCGCACGGTCATCTGGCAGTCCAGCTTGGGACCCTGTCCCCCGAACCGGTACACTGTGCCTCCTCGCTCCAACAACCTGGGGCGTAGAGGGGTGAAGGGGGGTTGAAGGAGGGTGAAAAAGGGTGAAGGGGATTGAATGGGGGAGAAGAAGGGTGAAAGGGTGTTGAAGGGGGGTGAACAAGGGTAAAGGAGATGAAGGAGGGTGAAGAAGGGTGAAGGAGGTTGAAGAAGGGTGAAAAGGGGTGAAAGAGGGTGAAGGGTGAAGGAGCACGAAGGAGGGCGAAGGCGCGCGAAAGAGGCCGAAGGAGGGTGAAGAAGTGTGAAAAAGGGTGCGCATGAAGGGGATCCGCATGGCCTTGGACATTCAGCCCGTGGTATGAAGGGGCACAGGAGGGAACAAAGGGGCCAGGGGAAGAGGGAATTCCAAGGATTGAAAGCTCACTGCATGGATCCAAGGTGAACGAAGGGGCAGAGGAAGGCGGGCACAGCAGCCTTGGGCATGTGGCATGTCTACCAATGCAAACGAAACAAAGCATTGAATTCATAGCCGAGCATGTTGGAAGGGCGATACTCACTGCACGGAGCCGAGGTGAATGAAGGGGCGGAGGAAGGAGAGCACTGCTGCCTTGGCGGCCTGGTAGTGCAGAGAGAAGAGCATCTGGGGTGTGTTGCGCTGCAGCTGCAAGGCCGGGCTGCTGCTGGCTCCGAGAAGCGCGTTGGCTGCAGTCAGGCCAGCCTGGTATTGAAGGGTGAGAGGCATAGAGGCAGACAGATAAACAAATGAAAGGCTGTTGGTGCAACAGGAGCCGGGAGGAGCATCTGGGGCGTGTTGCGTCGCAGCTGCATGGCCGGGCTGCTGCTGGCTCCGAGAAGCGCGTTCGCTGCAGTCAGGCCAGCCTGGTATTGAAGGGTGAGAGGCATAGAGGCAGACAGATAAACAAATGAAAGGCTGTTGTGCAACAGGAGCCGGGAGGAGCATCTGGGGTGTGTTGCGCTGCAGCTGCAAGGCCGGGCTGCTGCAGGCGCCCAGGAGGGCGTTCGCTGGAGTTAAGCCAGCCTGGCAGGCAGAAAAGGGGGAGGGTGGGACAAGGGTGCTGGGGGCAGATGAAGGGACGAAAAGGGTGCTTGTGGAGCGTGTGTTGTGGTTTATGTTCAAGGTGTATGTTGTATGATACGCGACGCATGATGCACTTGTGTACCTTGCACCCATCTTCATGGAAGCTCTGTACCGATGTGCATGCAGGACAACATGGCATGATCGACATGTGGCTCTGTGATGCATGAAGCATAATGCATGAAGCATAATGCATGATGCATGATGCATGATGCATGATGCATGATACATGACGCACGATGCACAATGCATGATGCATGACGCATGACGCATGATGCATGATGCATGATGCATGATGCATGATGCATGATGCATGATGCATGATGCATGATGCATGTACGTACCTTGAACCCATCTTCATGGAAGCCATATCCTGTGAGATGAGAAGTGGCAGAGAGATAGGGGGTGCGGGAAGGGAGAGAGGGCAAAGGTGGGAGAGAGCATGAGGCAGAGGCAAAGGGTCGCACTGCTTGTGTCACTTGTGAGAGTTCTCAAAACGAGTCACATCAGGTTTTGAGTCAACTCAAAACGAGTCCCTCCAAGTCACTCCACGTACCAAGATATACCCCACAGAAGTAGATTCCCCTCCTCCCTTGCACAGTGGGTAACAGTCTGGCAGCAGCCTTGGCAGCCGTGGTGGGGAGCGGTGGTATGGGATTCGGTCAGATCATAATATTCCTGGTAATCCACGTACCAAGATATGCCCCACAGAAATAAATTCCTCTCCTTCCTTGCACAGTGGGCAGCAGCCTGGCAGCAGCCGTGGCAGCAGTGGTGGGGGTCGGGTGGGAGGTGACCCACTGGTGGTGCACCGTGCCCTTGATTTCAGACGGTGGGTTGAGAGTCACCAGGATAGGGTCGCCCGTGTCCCCTAGATTCTGCATACGGGGGAAAAGGGAGGTTAGAGAAAGGGATGGAGTGAATAGGGTGGGAAGCGGGGGGGAGGTGACCCATTGGTGATGAACCGTGCCCTTGATTTCAGACGATGGGTTTGAGAGTCACCAGGATAGGGTCGCCCGTGTCCCCTAGATTCTGCATACGGGGGAAAGGGAGGTTAAAGAAAGGGATGGAGTGAAGAGGGTGGGAAGCAGGTGGGAGGTGACCCATTGGTGGTGAACCGTGCCCTTGATTTCGGACAGGGGATTGAGAGTCACCAGGATAGGGCCGCCTGTGTCGCCAAGGTTCTGTACAGCAGGGGGAGGTGGGTTGGAAGGGAAATGGTGAGGAAGAGGGAGGCGAGCGGGTGGGAGGTGACCCACCCCACCATTGATGAATTGTGCCGTTGATTTCAGACGGTGGGTTGAGAGTCACCAGGATAGGGTCTCCCGTGTCGCCAAGGTTCTGCACAGCAGGGGGAGGTGGGTTGCAAGGGAAAAGGTAGAGGAATAGTGAGGTGAGCGGGTAGGAGGTGACCCACCCCACCATTGATGAATTGTGCCGTTGATTTCAGACGGTGGGTTGAGAGTCACCAGGATAGGGTCTCCCGTGTCGCCAAGGTTCTGCACAGCAGGGGGAGGTGGGTTGCAAGGGAAAAGGTAGAGGAATAGTGAGGTGAGCGGGTAGGAGGTGACCCACCCCACCATTGATGAATTGTGCCGTTGATTTCAGACGGTGGGTTGAGAGTCACCAGGATAGGGTCGCCCGTGTCGCCAAGGTTCTGCACAGCAGGGAGAGGTGGGTTCCAAGGGAACAGATGAGGAAGAGGGAGGTGAGCGGTTGGGAGGTGACCCACTGGTGGTGAACCGTGCCCTTGATTTCAGACGGTGGGTTGAGAGTCACCAGGATAGGGTCGCCTGTATCGCCAAGGTTCTGCACAAAGGTTCGAGTGAGGGAGGTTAGAGAAAGTTTTGGATTGAATAGGGTGGCGAGCGGGTGAGAGGCGACCCACAGGTGGTGGACCGTGCCTTTGATGCCAGACGGTGGGTTGAGCGTCAGCAAGAGAGGCAGGGGTTGCAAGGGAAATGGCAAAGACGTGGTGCTACTTAGCCACCCACCTGCAGCGCGTTAAGCCAGTATGTGACGCACACCTGTCCCTTGGCATCCACCCCTCTGCAGCCCCCATTTGTGTTATTGTGAGCCACCCACCTACGCTAGAGCGTGTGTGTCCGTGTGTCTCATACCTGCATTGTCAGTCACACCCACCTGCAGCGTGTTAAGCCAGTACGTGACACACACCCCTCCCTTTGCGTCCACTCCTCTGAAGCTCCACCTGGAGTGCGTGTGTGTGTATCCTTGTGATACTGCCGTTCTAACTTTCAGAACACCCACCTGCAGCGTGTTGAGCCAGTACGTGACAGACACCCCTCCCTTGGCGTCCACCCCTCTGAAGTTCCATGCGCTCCAGGCGGCTCTTCGAGTGGGCATCAGGGACTTGTCGCGATGCAGGAAGATGGTGCTGGGGGATTGAAAGGGGTGGGTAAGGGTTTAAAGGGATGCGCATTGCTACTATGAAGTTCCACACGCTCCAGGTGGCTCTTCGAATGGGCATGAGGGACTTGTCACAATGCAGGAAGATGGTGCTGGGGGAGGATCAAGAGAGAGGGTGGAGAGGCAAGAAGAGAAGGCAAGGGAAGATGGTGAGGGGAGCCCTCTTAGGGGGTATGCTGGACTTGTCACAATGCAGGAAGATGGTGCTGGGAGCAAGAAAAAGGGGCTTCTAGGTTAAGTATACCTGGTGGCGTATTTGAAAGTGGAAAAACACCCTTCTTAGGTGCCTTACAAATGAGGCGAAAGGTATTGTTCATATAGGCCCTCCATCGTACCTGGTGGCGTATTTGAAGGCGGAAAATACTCTTCGCTCCTCATGCGTGGCTCCCTCCCCCAGCAGCGGCAGCACAGAATCCCCATGCACTGCCAGCACCACACGGTCGTAGCGTTCTGATGTTCCGTCCCCTAGACGCACTTCCACACCTGGGAAGGGAAGAAGATGAGGTTAGGGGTGGATGTAAGAATTGGTTTTGATTGCCAGCACCAGCAGCACCGCATCCCCATGCACTGCCAGCACCACGCGGTCGTAGCGCTCTGATGTGCCGTCCCCTAGACGCACTTCCACACCTGGTGATAGAGACGGAAGGGGAAGGAAAGGGAAGTGTCGGAGAACATCTTTCCTCTGGCACCTGCTCTTCTTCCTGCTGCCATTGTGGTTTCTTGAAGGAGTTCCCTCCCTCACCCCGTAGGTTCCCTCCTAGTGACGTGCTGCTGGATGTAGGATCTAAGGCAACAGATTTCACTATGACGAGAGAATAACAAACGAAAAGCATGGATGGGGTGTTCCTGACTGAACTTACCTTGCCCAGGCTCAAGTCGCACATTTCACAATGTGCGGCTCGGGTTTGGGCTGGTCCTCCCTGATTGGTTCAATGCATTTCGCCCTTCGGTCCTTTCCCTCCCATTCCTAACGTCAAATTCGTCCTCCCTCTACTCAACCTCAAATCCTATTCCAACATTCGCTACACCCCAAACTACACCCGCGCTACACTGTCATCACATATGCACAAAGTGTATATTTGGTGACAGCTGTCGGAGGACATCTTTCCTCTGGCACCTGCTCTTCTTCCTGCTGCCATTGTGGTTTCTTTCTTTGCGTGTGGTGCTTCACCTCAGCCACTCCCTGCCCCCTCCTGTGCCCGGGCTCGAGCGGCTTGAGCTCGGGTCACAGGACCACTCTGCTGAGGCTTAGCTCCTCGAATCACTGCCGTGTTGGTCTGATGCTCCTTCAGCTGCGCTCCTTTCTCATTCTCCAGCACTAGCACCCCAGATGGGCGCACTTCCTTCACCCTCCATTTCTCGGTCCCCACCCCGACGTCCAGCGTGTCTTGCTTCGCCCGTTTTAGGTACACTTCCTGGCCTTCGGTGACTCCCTTCTTTGCCTTTCCCGACCCCTGTTGCTGCCGCTGCTCATAGCGTCTTGCATCTCTCAGCTGCGCAGTGTGGAGGTTCTCCAAGGCTGCTGGCATCATGACTCGCAGGTACCGTGCTCTGACTTCAGACAGAGCTACCCAGTTGTCTATGGTGCCCGCCGTTACTGTGTCTGTCAGGACCCGTGAAGCTCCCACCGGCAGTATTGGCTCGCATCCGAACAAGAGGCTGTACGGTGAGTGATCTCGCAGGGCTGCTTGCTTTCCAAACCGGTACCCAGCCGCAATCCAATGCAGCTCGTCATCCCAGTCCCTCTTCCTCTTCTCCCCATATGCCCGCAATCCTCTTTTTATGGTTTGCACCAGCCGCTCAGTCAACCCGTCACTCTGGGGATGGTAGCGGGAGGTGCGGCGGTGGGTAATGCCTGCCTCCTCCAACATTTTCTTGAACTCCCCTTGAAACTCATTCCCCTGGTCCGTGAGGATCTCTCCGCACGCCCCAAATCTGCACAGCACTTGCTCCTTGAACGCTGCTGCCACATGCCTTGCATTCTTGCTTGGGATCGCCCTGACCTCCAACCATTTGCTCACGTGCTCCACCATGAGCACGATGTATTGTTTCCCTCCCCTGCTCAGAGGCAGCTCTCCCGCCAAATCCAAGGACCACCTGAAGCCCAGGCCGCGGATGGGCAGCGACTGCAGCTCGGCCTTAGCTTGCGTCAAGTTCGCCCTGCTTCTTTGGCATGCTTCACAATTCTCCACCCACTTCTTCACCTGCCCTCGCATTCCTTCCCACCATCCCGTCTTCAGCAGCTGCACCGTCCTTTCATGCCCATAGTGGCCCAGCTTAGTGTGCACTTCCCGAATTACCGCCTCCCTTTCGCCTGGCGCTGGCACCAGCTTCCACCCATCCTCTGTCTGTATCTGCAGCTGCTGCCTGTACCACCTGTAGTGGTGCCCCCTTGCTCTGACCCTCTCTGTCATCTCCTCATCCTCTTCCGTCTCCCCTCTCACCCACCTCATGGCTGGTTCATCCTCCCAGATGTCTGCCGGCCCTCTGCTCCCCTTAGCCCCCTTCAGCTCGGCCTGCTTTGCTAGCAGGATCAGCGTCGCCGTGGGCTCTGGTGGTGGCGGGTTGCGGGAGAGGCCGTCCACGTGCTGCAGGGTTTTCCCGGGCCTGTGCCGGATCTTGAAGTCATATTCCTGTAGTTTCATGGCCCACCGTGCGTTCCTTCCAGTCAGCCCAGGTGTGGTCATTAGCCACGTTAGTGGCTGGTGGTCCGTCACCAATGTGAACTCACGGCCCTGCAGGTACACCCTGAAGTGGCCCACAGCCCACACTGCTGCTAATCCCTCACCTATGTACGAGCTATACTGTGCCTCTGCCGAATTGCAGCTTCTGCTCGCATATGCGACCACTTTCTCGTCCCCATCTATTTCCTGGCAGAGTATGGGCCCCATTCCTTGGCTGCTCCAGTCAGTGTAGAGAGTGAACGGCTGGTCCGCTACCGGCAGCTGCAGCACCGTTGCTGTCTTTACTGCTGTCATTAAGTCCTTCAGTGCCTCTTTCTGTGCTTCTCCCCATTCCCACGCTTTGTCCTCCCTCAGCATCCCATTCAGCACTGTGGCTCGCTTGCTGAAGTTGGGGACAAACCGCCTGTAGTAGCTTAGGAAGCCCAGCACCGCCCGCAGCCCCGACTTATCCTTGGGCTCCCGCAGCTTGTCCAGGACCTCCACCTTGGCCTGTTGAATCCCAATCTGCCCCCTTGTCACCTCGTATCCCAGGTACAGTACGGTCTGCTCCCCCCACCTACACTTCTTCGGGTGGCAGGTGAGTCCTGCCCCCTCTATTGCACTCAGTGTCCTCTCCACATCCTGTAAGTGCTGCTGCTTTGTGGCGCTGAAGATCACCACATCATCGATGTAGCATGCAGCACACTCCACATCACGCAACACTATGTCCATGACCCTCTGAAACACGGCGGACGCGTTCCTCAAACCGAAGGGCATGTACAACCATTCGTACAGCCCATCTGGCCCATGAAAAGCAGTTTTCTTGATGTCTTCCTCTCTGATCTTGATCTGATTGAACCCTTGGCGCAGGTCCAGCGTCGTGAAGAAGACCCCATCCGCCAACTTATCAAAAATCTCCTTAGCTTTCGGCATCGGGTACCTGTCCGGTACGGTGATTTTGTTGAGTGCTCTGTAATCACCGCACATCCTCCTGCTCAGAATTTCCCTCGTCAGGTCTTTCCTTGCAGCTACTACGGTCGGTGTGGCATACTCTGACTCAGACCGCCTAATCAGCCCGGCTTCCAGCAATTCCTTGATCTTCTCCTTACAAATTTCCTCATCCCCAGGTGGCATCTTCCTCCTTCGGTGGAACACGGGCTCTGCACTGCTCAGCTTCAGCTCCATTTCCTTCACTTTGCACTTTCCCAACTCCTGCAGGGTGAACGCAAAGCACTTCCTATGCTTCGCCAGTAGCTGTTGCATGGCCTCCTTCCCCTCTTCACTCATCGAATCCCCTATTGTCCACTTTTCCTTCTCCCCCTCCTGGCAGCTCCATGCTCCCTGTGGGACTGGCGCAACTTCTTTCTCGTCTTCCTTATGCCCCCAGCTCAGAACCGTCTCTCTCCACATCCGCTGAATCAGCCACCTCAGCATGTGGCCGTCCATGGCGTTCCCCAGCGCCCTCCTCCTTTCTTCTTCACTCACTCCTGGGGCTGAAGTGACATCCTCCCCATATCCCATGGCCAGCTCCCTCTCTAGGGCGGTTGGTTCCTCCCACTGCCCTCTCTTACGGTCATATATCAGCCCTGGCCCCGGCTTCCCCGCTTCCCACTTATATCCGGCTGCCTCCTGATAGGCGACCAACGTGGGCAGCGCCCGTCTATCTTGCCCCACTTAATTACAAGGGTAATGCCTGCTGTAGCTCTTTCTGCACACCGGCGCTGGGGTCCGCCCCGGCTCTAGGATGTCCTGTACCTTTCTGTCCGACGCTCTCCTCACCCCATCTGCCTCCTCTTGCAGGTCCTGCACCGGGACGACGTTCTGCCAATACATCCTGAGCCGGTGTGCACACGACCCCATCCTTGCCGCATCAGAGCTCATGCCCTTGCCCAATTGTCTCTTGATCTTCTCCCTCACCAGCCGAAATGGCTCTCGCTTGTCACCTTCCAAGTCCAAGTTCTCCAGCAGGTATGCCACCCTGCCTTGCCTCTCCTGCAGCCAGTCCATAATACGAAACAGGTCCTCCATCAGCATTGTCCTGGGGTCCAATTCTCCCTTTCCTTTCCCGGCCCACGACACCCCTTGACACTCCCACCCTGCTACCAGCAGGTCCACCTGCCCCCAGCTGGCTACCTCTGCCTCGGTCACCTTCCTGACATCATGAACTGTTCTGCCCATTGCTTCCCGGATCACCTCCCGGCTCAGGAGCTCCGGGAACTCTGCATGCAACTTCAACGCGTGGTGCTCAGCCATCTTCCTTGCTGCTGGCGCCCGTTCCACGTATATCCACTGTTTCACGGCGATTCCACTCCTCACCACAGCCGCCAATCCTGCCCCAATCCCCCCGAACAGCTCTACTAAGCGGATGGGCTGCCTCCAGTCAGTCTGCTGCCTCGGCTCATCCATGAGCTTCATCTTGGGCCCTTCTTCCGCTCCTTTCGATCCCCTCTGTCCCTCCGCCTGCTGTTCCCCTGGTGCCTGCCCCACAGTGGCCTGGTAAGCCCTCTTCGGCTCCACCTTCACGAACTGCACGGGAAGCTGCCCCAGGGGCCCTTCCTTCTTCCAGTATCGAGTCCGGAACTCCACCCTCTCCGCCCACTTGCATATTGTCATCCCCACCGCAATCATCATCTCAGTGCCCACCAGGACATCGAAGTCCTCCGAGTCCGAAATTCCACACTTCATCCTGATTTTGGTCTCATGTTCTTCCCCCGGCAGCAGGGTCAACTCTATGGGTGTTCGTGTGCAAGGCATCCACTTTGGTTCCCCCCCTTCTGCCGTCATCACCAGCATGCGTCTTGCCACGTGCTTCTCTGGGGCCAACAATCCAAGCCTCTCTGCCATGCTCTTGCCCAGCATCACACTCTGTGCCCCGGTGTCTATGATGGCTGTCTAACCCTCTCTCCTTCTACTTCCATCGCCCCCCCCTTTACCAGCAGCACAGAGGTCTGGCAAGCCAACCTCTCTTGCGGGTGGCGCGTCGGAGGATTCTCCTGCTCTTGCTCCTCCGGTCTCTCTCCCTTCTCCCGTTCCTTCCTCACGTGATCCTTTCTGCCGTCTCTCCCTCCGCTCCGCAGCCCCATCTCTTCCCTGCCTCTCCAGGCCATGAGGGCACACTGTACATCCTGTTCCACCTCCTCTCCCTCCTCATCCCTGGCGTACATCCCCGCTTCTGCTTCCCGCCTCGGTCCTAAAGCTTGCAGCTGCGACTGCAGCCTGCTGATCTGTCGCTCCAGGTCCTCTGGGTTCCTCTTTGCTCCTCCCTCCCGCTGATAGCAATCTTTCGCCTCGTGCCCCTTCTTGCCGCAGATCTCGCACCTTGGGGCGTCAGGACACTCTTTCCTCCGGTGCCCTGGCTTCCCGCAGCAATCACAGTTCTTGCAGTCCCTGCGAAGATGCCCCACCTGCCCGCATCTATGACAGGTCCGGGCATCCGTCCTGCCCTCCCCTCGACCCTCCGGTCTCCCCCGTTCCTCAGGAATCATCGCTGCTGCCCATGTTGGCCGGCGGCTGCGCTCCGACGACTTGGGCAAGTATGCTTCGAACTTCCTTTGTGCGAGCTCCACTTTTTCTGCTAGCTCGAACACCTCTTCCAGACTTGCATCTGCCCCCAACTCATACACCCTCATCCTTAAGCCACCCCCCAAGCCCTCGTCCAGCCCCCCCAGGAACTTGCTAATAAGGAGGCTGGTGTCCGTGCACTTCACGTCCTCCGCTACGTTGATCAGCCGGTTGTAGTAGGTGAGCAACGACTCCATCCGTCCCCTTTTTAACTCCTGAAACTCCCTTATCCGTTCTGCAGTGTGTCCCGGAAACTGTCGCTGCAGCCGGCGGAGGAACGCCTCCGTGGGGTCTTCACCGTACCTTCCCGCTCTCCACAGCAGCTCATCCATCCTTATTCGATACAAAGTCTCCGCCTCTCCTTCCAGCGTGTTAGGTAAGCTCAGAAAGAAATCTACAGGGTCCATGCCGCTCCTGTCGCAGCGGTACCGCACGTTTCCCACTTGCATTAGGTAATTCTTGAGAGAGGGCCCCGTGCGTTGAACTCCTGAGAACCTCGCCGGCACCTCCACTCGTGGTGCCGCTGCCACACTCCCTCGACCTTCTCCCCAGGACTCACTTGTTGCCCTTGCCTGCCCTCCGTGTGTCCCCCTTTCCTTTGCTCTCTCCATTCCTTCCCTCGCCTCTCTGGCTCGTTCTGCACTATATGCCAAACTCACACCTCTGTCCTTGCTTCTCCGCCGGTCCCATCCCGCCTCCTTCCGCAGCTCCCTCGGGCTCATGCGCCCTTCCGAGCGTCTCCCTTGCCGCTCCGGCGAGTAGTGCGCCCTTGCCCGTTCTTCCTGCCACGTCCCGCGTCGATACTTCTCTGGCGACGGCGACCGTTCGTCTCTGCCTCCTCCATACTGCCGACGGCTGTACGACGTAAACCATTCCTCATCACGTCCTCCCTCCTGCTGCCTGTGCAGATCTGGCGAGCGGGACCCCCCATCACGCCATCCTCCACGGCTCTGATGCCGTCCGGGCGAGCGCCCCCCGCTGCCGCGCCACCCTTCGCGTCGCTGATGCGGATCGGGCGAGCGCCCCCCGCCGCCGCGCCACCCTTCGCGTCGCTGGTGCGAATCGGGCGAGCGCTCCCCGCCGCCGCGCCACTCTCCGCGTTCCTGATGCGGATTGAACGCGCGCTCCCCGCCGCTGCGCCATCCCTCACGGCGCTGCTGCCGATCGGGCGAGCGCGATCCATCGTTTCGCATTGCTCCGCGCTGCCGACGCTTTTCCGGCGTGCGCGCCCGTTCTTGCTGCTCGGATACGCGCGATTCCGCGTTCCGCTCTCCTCGGTTCTGCTGCTGCAGATTGGGCGAGGGACTTCCCTCCTGACGGTCGCGGCGTTCCTCTCGCTGCTCCTTTCGTGCGTCCTCCGACCCGTCGGCCTTCTCCTCGCCCTGCTCTGCCGTGCCGTCTGCCGGCGCGACATCAGCCTCGTCGGCTCCAGCGGCTGCGCCGTGACTCCCGCTGGTGTCCTCCTCTTGGCGCAGCAGCTCCTCGGAACCCTCGTGCGCGCCCTGTCTAAGGTCTTCCTTCCGCATTTTCCCCACGGGGGAATTCTCCTCTTCGCTGCCCATGTCGAGGTCTCCTCGTCGGCCGTGATGCCACCCTTGTGGGCCTCGCGCGCGGTCGCTTTCTCCACGTCGACGGTACCCTTCGTCCAGCGAGGGATGCGCCCTCATGTCACGGCGATACCTACGATCACCTCCTGATCCGTCGCGAGCGTCCGTCCGCCACGGGTCGCTTCTCGACATGGCCGCCCCGCCGACTTCATGACGGGACGAACCTTCCCCGCGCCCCTCTGGCGCTTGGGGAACACGATCAGCGCGGAAGGCCGGCCTTCGCGGCGACCGTTCCAGCGAGCGCCCACGCTCCTGCGAGTGTTCGCGCCGCGGCCGTTCCTCCTGCTCCCGACGACTATATTGCCTGCCCCATCGCAACTCGTACTTGTCCATACTCACGCGATGTCTATGCCACCTTTTCGCTTGTTATGAAGGAGTTCCCTCCCTCACCCCGTAGGTTCCCTCCTAGTGACGTGCTGCTGGATGTAGGATCTAAGGCAACAGATTTCACTATGACGAGAGAATAACAAACGAAAAGCATGGATGGGGTGTTCCTGACTGAACTTACCTTGCCCTGGCTCAAGTCGCACATTTCACAATGTGCGGCTCGGGTTTGGGCTGGTCCTCCCTGATTGGTTCAATGCATTTCGCCCTTCGGTCCTTTCCCTCCCATTCCTAACGTCAAATTCGTCCTCCCTCTACTCAACCTCAAATCCTATTCCAACATTCGCTACACCCCAAACTACACCCGCGCTACACTGTCATCACATATGCACAAAGTGCATATTTGGTGACAGAAGGAGAAGGGAGGATACGCTTATAAAGAAAAGAAGAGAATCGCCATGCATCGCCAGCACCGCTTGGTCATTACCACTCTTGGTCATCACCCCTCGGCCAAAACCTACACATAAGTGACCCATCTACCCTTGCGTTATCACAAGCCTAATTTATAGGAGTGGAAAGATGTATGTTATAGACCATAATGTGGAAAGGATTTTTTTGAAATTCTCAAAATCAGCCTTCCCTTGCCATGTTGCATTCCTCACCTCTCCATATTACATTGAGCATTACACCTCCCAGCATCACACCTCTCACCTCCAGAGTATGCAAACCTCTCAGCAGCACACCTCCTTGGTTACATCTCTCACTCACCTTCCTCGCCCAGGCCCTGCACCCTAGTTACTTCCGTGTTGGTGCGGAAAGCACCTCCTCCAGCTTCCACAGCCGCCATCACCTGTGGGGAACAACGGAAGATGCAATAAGCAAGGGGAGGAGGAGGAGGTGGGGCGGGGGAGAGGACTTCCCCTGGAACACCCGTAAGCCGAACACGCAGAACACCCATCCCATCTCTGGAATGGGATTTGGGACGAACCCAAAGGTTCGGTTCGTCAACACAAGGTGCTTGACAAGTGTTTAATCCGTACATGTTTGTGTTCCGGTTTTGCTCATGGCTAGTTCTGGTGTGTATGGGTCTGCTGTGTAATACCTCCTTCACGAGCATCTGGAACCTTCCATTGTATTCTGCCAAGTAGCTGCGATTATTTTTTAGTCTTGACTTTTAAGTCGACTCAAAAGCCTTCGCGTGCATTTGGGGTCTGCCATTGGAGTCTGCCAAGAGGCTGAGATGACTGTTGAGACTACTCAGAAGTCATGTAAGCTCTTGCGTAATTGCGTGTGTGAATTACCTTCTTCACGTAGGTCTGGGATCTGCCTGACACTGTCAGCCATTGTGGTCTGCCAAGCAGCTGAAACGGGTAAGGGAGCAGGCAAAGAGGTTGGAGGTCGGGGTAAGCATGGAGCGCAGCAGTTGATGGTAAGCATGGGCTCAAAAACAGAATTCAGGAAGGTGAAGTGCGGTGATCCTAAGGAGAGATGGAAAGGCAAGCGCAAGAAGAGTTCGAAGGAGGAAAAGCTTGAGAAACAAAAGCAGCAATGAACCTGCAGGACGTGGTTGTGATTATAGCGAAAATGTGGTGGTTTTAAGAACAAACCTGGAGCACCTGTAACTATTGGCGCTGCTTTATGAACCTGCAGCCTTTGGTCGTCTTTACAGCCAGATTGCAGCATACGGGGGTTCGTATAACGAGTGTGCATGCCGTATGTGGTGGTGGTGCTTATAACGAACCTGCAGTATGTAATGGTAGTGCTTATAACGAACCTGCAGCATGTGGTGGTTCTTGAGGAACGAGAGCACGGAGAAGGCATTGAAGCTCCTGGCGCCATCCACCCCGGTAGACCATATAGAGGCGCACACTGGGAGCTGAGAAAATTGAAATCAACAGGGGAAGAGAAAAGGAACATGAGTGTGTGGATGGAAAGAGGAGCGTACTGTTCGTCAAGATAAGTCAGTACACAGACCTCGTATTGTTCACTAAGAAGTTAAAATGACCAGGTAGCGATTGCAGAATATGGAGGAATAGCCTAGCCATGGCATGGGCCTGGACAAACTGCCACAATGTCTCAGTGAATAGCGCGTTGCTGCCTACTGATGCTGCTAAGCTAAGCTGCCCGGTTTACTCTCACCTAGCATCTCACACTGACCAGGTAGCAATTGCAGAACATGGAGGAATAACGGCGGGCCTTCAGGAACTGCCCCAACGTCTCTGTGAGCAGGGCGCTGCTGCCCCACCAGCCAGCCAATTTACACCAGCATTCATTCACTCACCTACCATTCATTCACTAAGAAGACAACTGCCAGACTTACCAGGTAGCAGTCGCAGAACATGGAGGAGTACCCGCGGTCCTTCAGGAACTCCCCCAACGTCTCTGTGAGCAGGGCGCTGCTGCCTGCTGGTGCTGCTGGTGATGATGCAGCCCCGTCGCTGCTGCTGCTGCCATTGAGGGCAACGGACTGCCTCTGCAGCACTCCAGATGCTTCCACCTTAGCGAGGTATCTGCGGGAAGGAGGGAAGGAAGACTCTGTGAGCAGGGCGCTGCTGCCTGCTGGTGCTGCTGGTGATGGTACAGCCCCGTCGCTGCTACCGCTGCCGTTGAGCGCAACGGACTGCCTCTGCAGCACTCCAGATGTTTCCACCTTGGCGAGGTAGCTGCGGGAAGGAGGGAAAGGAGGGATTGTGCAAATTAAAAGAGGAGTACCCGCGGTCCTTCAGGAACTGGCCCAACGTCTCTGTGAGCAGCGCGCTGCTGCCTGCTGGTGTTGCTGGTGATGATACAGTCCCATCGCTGCTGCTGCTGGCATTGAGGGCAACTGATTGCCTTTGCAGCACTCCTGAAGTTTCAACCTTGGCGAGGTAGCTGCGGGCAGAAAGAAAGGGAGTGAGAAGAAAGGGTGCAATTCAAAATAAAAGCAGCTGATTGCCTCTGCAACACTCCTGAGGCTTCGACCTTGGCGAGGCATTTGCGGAGATGAAGAAAGAAAGAAAGAGGGGGAGGGGAGAAAACGAAGTGCTATTCAGGATCAGAAAGATCTCTCATTCGATTCGACTGTGAAATTGTCTCATTATGTGTCGTTTACAGCAGCTGATTACCTCTGTAACACCCCAGAGGCTTCGATCTTGGCGAGATAGCTGTGGAGAGGAAGGAAGAAAGACGCGGGCTGCTCAGTTCGGGATCAAAGAGAAAATGGAAACGCTTTGAGATCATGACTGTCTCATAATGTGTTCTGGATGGTAACTGATCGCCTCTGCAGCACTCCAGAGGCTTGCACCTTGGGGAGCTTACTAACGCCAGTGAAGCCTAACCATGGTGTGCAACAGACCCGTGTAGCCATGTATCCTGTGTGCAGTGCACTATCAGCAGAAAAAGAGCCTTACTCGAGCACGTCTTGATGGAAAACCGTCAGAAGAAGAAGAAGTGCAGTGCAGTGCACTATGAGCAGCAGAAGAACTTACTTGAGAACATCTTGATGGAAAACCGTCATCTCGCGCAGCATGAGCCAGAAGGAGGGCCGGAAGGCGTTGCGGCGCGAAGCAAAGAGGCCCGAGAGGCCGTTGCTGCCCCACTCGCAGCGCGGCACCGACACCGAAAAGGACATGTCGGATGGCTCTATTGCGACCTCTAGTTCCTCGAAGAAGGAGAGCATGTTGGGGTAGGTCACCTGATGTGGGGAGCCGCGGAGGGAGGGGTGGAAAGGGGGGGGAGAGTTGGGGGGAAGAGGGGGTGATTGAGAGAGGACACAGACACAGACTAGGACATGTCGGAGGGCTCTATTGCAACTTCCAGGTCCTTGAGAAAGGAGAGCATGTTGGGGTAGGTCACCTGGTGTGTGTGGGTGGGCGGAGCGGAAGAGGTGGGGGGAAGAGATGGGGGGAAGAGGGGGGATGGAGAGAGGGCACCGACACTGAAAATGACATGTCAGAGGGCCCTAATGCCACCTTTTGTCTTTTGTAACTAGAAGAAGGAGAGCATGTCGGGGTAGGTCACCTGGTGTGTGTGGGAAAGCACATGTGTGCTAAGGGGAAGCGGGGAGGACACAGACACCTACAATAGAGGACATGAGATAGGGCTCTATAGCCACGTCCTGTTTTTTCAAGGAAAGTCTGTTGAGGTAGGTCACCTGGTAGAGCGGGTGGGGAAGGGGAGTCGGGTGGTTGAGAGGACAGCTAATGAAAGACATGTCGGGTGGTTGACATGTCGGGTGTTTTTTTCATGGCATTGAGAAAGACATGTCGAACGCGTCAGAATGGCCATGCCACTTTCCAGACGATCGAGCAGGTTCAGTCGAAGTGATCGTGTCGTGGATGAGAATGTGGCTGAGGAAAGCTTTTTGTGGCCGTTCAATTAACAGAACCACTCGTATCTCATGGAAACCATGACTACATTCCCAAGCCACCCGCGTTGGATGACGTCATACCGCTCGGAACCAGCTCATTTCAGCGCATTGAGGCACGACATGAGAATGCGGAAAGCTGGAGGCTTCATTGGCTGGCATTCCACCAACATTGCATCCAAGTTCATCGGGCTACTTCAGAAGATCAGATCACGCCTCTCAGAAGGGCGTTCCTCACCCACTCCACGTCACTAAAGCACCCCGCTTTTCAGGATCGCGCCACGTCACTCGGCTACGCCTCGTCACAAGATCACGCCACGTCATGTCACGGACGCACCGAGTTAAAGACCATGAATCCGAGGTCCACGTCGATGCCATCGTCCGTGCGATACGTGAACGCATGGCCGCCAATGTGCGAGTCTTTCTCCAACACCGTCACCTGCACCCCCTGTTTGCTCAGTCGCCATGCCGCTGCGAGCCCGGCGACGCCTGAGCCAACCACAGCCACTTTCATCGTGCACAGCCGCTTCTACGCTCGGAGAGCGAGCAGAATGCTGTGTGTTTCTATTGAGGAAGGGGTCTCTTTTCCATGAAATGGCGACTGAACCACTTGAAGCCCAGCTCAAAGGGCCTAGAGGGAAAGCTTTTGGGGCCTTGTGAAAATGGTTGTGGAAGACCGAATGTGCAATCTCGAGGAGCAAGCAGTAGCCGTTGTGATGTGATGACCTCAAGGGGGTTGGGGGGCGAAGGTTTGGCAGAGCTTGCATGCGAATTCATGGCTGGTAACGAGCGAATTTGAGAAGTTGGCTTGGGGGTGAATGCACCCACAACCAACCGACTTTCGCGAATATCAAGGTTGGAAACGAATGTCGCGAATCAATCATGGTGGAGGCGAACCCACGTGGAGAAGCACAACTGGACTTTATGACGTCATCAATAGAGATTCTGGGAAGGGAGCCCCTCAACACGAGAGCCGAGAATGCTCTTGACATCCCCGTACAAGATACACCACCTGGTGGCAAAACATACGGTACCTGACTATTATTGGGTTGCGTAGCAACCTTATACATTTGGTTTCACTTTTCGGGGAATGGAATAATTGGACAATTGTTCTAGCACTAATGGTAACACCAAATGACAGGAACTGAAAGGCACACATACGCAAATTACCACAAAAACGAACGTGTACAAGAACCGTCGTACATGTTCTGAGGGGAATACAAAATGCATCAATGCAGCAGCTGAGATTGATATGGTACGGAAGGGGCAAGCAAAGCTGCCCCACCGACGATCACAACCCCAACTGCATACACGAGGCACTTTGCACCACACCTCAAACAGGCCCCAAATTTCAAGGGTAAAATACCCTTTTTGCCCTGATGGTAGGCCGCTTTTTCCCAGTTACCCTTGCAAAAACAGGGTATCAAATTTATTACCCTAGAGCAAACAGGCTAAGATTTGATTTACACTGATAACGATTTCTGTTACCCTGCCGATATCAGGGTGCACTGTATACTTCACAGATACCGAATCCTCTTAGCGAGAGTTTTCCTTGCGAAGCTGCGAAAAGTTTTTGTGCACCAGCCAGATTCGAACCTGCAACCTTCAGAATTCTAGCCTCACATCTGACTAACTGAGACATGTTCTGGTGGAGTCTTGCTCTAAGGATCAATAAATAAAACCATTTCATTTTTTTAGGCTGTTTTTGGCAGGGTACGAAATATTTTACCCTAACAGTCAGGGTACTGGGGGCCTGGAACCCTGATTTGAAAGAGTGGACCTAAACCTATTTTGGGCCCTGACCTCAAAACAAGCACAGACGATACCATACAAGCTGGTACAAAAACAAAGTACGGACAACGATTGAGATAATGTTTCAAGGCGAATACTAAATGCATCAATGCAGCAACTGAGATTGATATGGTACGGAAGAGGCTAGCAAAGCTGCCCCACCGACGATCACAATCCGAGTTGCATTCACGAGGCACTTAATACCACACCCTGAAACACACACAACACATATGCACATGTACGCACCCAAACACACAGGCTCATACATACACACAGACACACAACGCAAAAACATACAGCTACGGTAATAAGCATGCAAGAATAATGAATGAAGTTCAGCCTCGTATAAAGTATCACTAGCCTGTCCCCATCATCCCCCCCCCCCCCCCCCCCCCTCCTTCCCTCCCTCCCTCCCTCCCTCCCTCCCTCCCTCCCTCCCTCCCTCCCTCATCTCCCTCACACCCCCTCCCTCATCTCCCTCCCACCCCCTCCCTCATCTCCCTTCTCTGCCAAACAAAATCAAAGAATGCAGCACACGCGCCCTGCACATAGCAAAAACAGAGAATGCAAAGCACGCGCCCTGCACAAGAAAAAGGGCAAAAACAAAGAATGTTCACACACTGTACAAAAAATAATAATAAAACGAATAATGCTTCCATGCGAGGAGGCCAAGCAGGAAATTTGACAACTCACAGAGGTAAAATGGTGTGGCACCACAGTACTACGCCAACATGATGCAATACATTGTAGCTACCCTCACGTTCAACTTCACAATCACGCTCGCACTCACTCTTGTACTCAATCTTGCACCCACTCACACACAGACACACAGATACTCTTCGATACTCTCTCAGAAACGAACACACAAACTACACGCCCTCTCACGCGCTCCCTCACCTGCCCTCTCACGCGCTTCCTCACCTGCCTCTCACGCGGCCTCTCACGCTCTTCCTCACCTGCCTCTCACGCGGCCTCTCACGCGCTCCCTCACCTGCCCTCTCACCTCTCACGTGCACACGCACTGTCACGCGCTCTCTCACGCGCTCTCTCACGCGCACTCTCACGCGCACTCTCACGCGCACTCTCACGCGCTCCCTCACGCACGCACTCACATGCGCACTCTCACACTCTCCCCCACGCGCTCTCTCAAGTGCGCACTCTCGCGCTCACTAACACGCGCACTTTCACGCGCTTTCTCTCATGGCCTCTCACGCGGCCCCCTGGCGCCAGAGCGCTAATTGCCAGCGCGTTAGGCGCCAAGGCGCAAGGCACCAACGCACTAGGCGTCAGCGCGCAAGGCGCCAGCGCGTTAGGCGCCAAAGCGTTAGGCGCCAGCGCGCACGGCGCCAGCGCGCACGGCGCCAGCGCGCACGGCGCCAGCGCGTTAAGCGCCAGTGCGCAAGGCGCCAGCGCGCACGGCGCCAGCGCGCACGGCGCCAGCGCGCACGGCGCCAGCGCGCACGGCGCCAAGGCTTTAGGCACCAGCGCACTAGGCGCCAGCGTGCTCGTTCGCGTGCGAACTCTCTCACTCGCTCTCCCTCTCTCCCTCTCTTCAATTGGTATTGCAATGCAAAAGGAGATCAATCGACACACAAAGAACTTACAAAAAACGTACGAAAGTACATGAATTTCTTCGAGAGGAGGAGGAGAAATGGACCGGAAAGGTCAACGCACCCGAAAACTACGGTGCCTCAGGGGTCGATCCGCGCTCGCCCCCCAGCTCGCGCTCGTGCAGCTGCTGTCAGCGGCGACGGCGGGATGAGCGGGGGAGGCGACGACGGCGGCGGGGTGGGAGGGAGCGGCGACGGCAGGAGGAGGGAGCGGCGACAGCGGGAGGAGGGAGCGGCGACGGGCGGGAGGAGGGAGCGGCGACGGCGGGAGGAGGGAGCGGCGACGGCGGGAGGAGGGAGCGGCGGCGGCGGGAGGAGGGAGCGGCGACGGCGGGTGAGAACGAGAGGCGACGGCAGGTGGGAGGCGACGGCGGGTGGGAGGGAGAGAGGACGGCGTGGTGGGAAAGAAAAGATGGTGGGGTGGAGGTAGAGGCTATGACGAGGTGGGTGGGTGGGAGGGAGAGGCAACAGGTGGGGTGGGATTGTCACGTGAAAACACACGCACAATCACGTGAGATTGACTGAGCTAAAAACAACTCACTAAAAAAAGTGCAATGTAACAATACAAAGCATCATCTTTAAGGAAAGAGAACATTATTGTTCACTATATAGAAAAACGATCAATGTGTCTAGACCTTAACGTAATAGAAACATCAATGTTTAACAATCAATGAGATCCACGCTGAAAAGAATACATTGCACCATCAAGAAGCGCTTGCCGTATTCTTTAATACGGTAGACCAAAATTTGGCGCTAAATAAGAAATAGAAACTGCATTTCCTCTTTTTCTTGTCAACAAGGAATGTAACATCTATGCAACCTGTTGGAAACAGTGAAACTTAAGCGCTTCAGCCGTGTCGAAACATCGCACCAGAAGTGAAGAAAACAATATCGAAGCAAGTGCGAGTCAACCCTCGGAGGTTGAGAGGTTGCTGGAGGTTACGCGAAAGTCAAAGGTCAAGCGACCTTTGACCTGACAAGTACAGCGCGACAGTTAAGGACACACAACTGACTCGTTACAGAGCAGTTGCCCGAGTCGTACTGTATCGAACCGCAACAGCAAACAGTAAAGTAGTTATAACCGTACCCTTTTATATTCCTTGTACTATTACCGTAATCACCCGGACAAAACACCCCCCCGTAATAGTACACCCCCGGGTAGCTTGTGCGGGGGGGGTGCTATAGCCGACCTCGTTTGTACTATACCCCCCTTTTTGGGATGATTCTCTATAACACCCCCCTTTTCTTACGAAACCCTATTATAGCTGTTATCGAGTCACAATTTTTACGGGAGGATATGACGAAAATCGCTTCCTGAATGAAATTTCGCGTGCACTTTCACTTCGAATCTACCGAGATTCCCTCCCTTCCACAATCTCGCTGTCGCCACGTTGGCGAATCTTCCGCTCCACGTGGCCCGAGAGGTGGAACTCACATTCTCGCCAAAACGCAAATTCTCCCCTCAACCTGTGATGTTTCAACGACAATTGAAACACCCAAATTGTCCAGTTAAACTTTTTTCTTACACTAAAAAGTGCCATATATAACCTGTCAAGATAGTAATGAAAGTGAGAAGCCATAGCTAGGGTTGACCTAGCTAGGCAAGTAAGAAATGAACAAAGGAGGGGTTACACTTGTCAAACATATATGCTGCATATTGTCTAGGCTGTAGTGGGGTAGCCCATATGGGGTACAGCCCAATTAGGGTTTACTACTTGTACTCCTGCATGCTGCTAGTTCATCCATTCCGTAGGACCGTTTTTTTTTTCGGGCCCACCTACCGCTGCGGTTACCGCGCTACCCCACGTACCTGCCTGCCTTGCCTTGCCTTGTGACGTGCTGCACTATGTGCGCCGTCCAGCAGCCCTAGCGCTGCCTCCTGCTGCCCTAGGCCAGCGCGCTGCCCCTAGAGGCCCGTAAGGCCCACGCGCCGCCCCTAGAGGCCCGTAAGGCCCGCGCAGCCCGCTGCAGCCGCGCGCAGCCCGCACAGAGCCCGCGCAGCCCGCGCCGAGCCGCGCACAGCCCGCTGCAGCCGCGCGCAGCCCGCACCGAGCCGCGCGCAGCCCGCTGCAGCCGCGCGCAGCCCGCAGCTGCCGCGCGCAGCCCGCGCCGAGCCCACGCAGCCCGCGTCGAGCCGCGCGCGGCCTGCTACGGCCTCGCGAGGCCCGCGCGCGGCCCGCAGCAGCCCGCGCCGAGCCGCGCGCGGCCTGCTACTGCCTCGCGCGGCCCGCGCGCGGCCCGCAACAGCCCGCGCCGAGCCGCGCGCGGCCCGCTACTGCCTAGCGCGGCCGCGCGCGGCCTGCAGCAGCTCAGCGCGCTGTCAGCGCAGCCCGCGCCGAGCCGCGCGCGGCCCTCTGCCTCGGCCACGACCTGCCG